TGGCTGAAAGGCGCTTGGGCTCCCTGGGGATGGGCAGAGAGCAGAGCATGGGGCCAGAACTGCCTGCATGCTGGGACACGAGGCATGGGTGCCCCCGCATCCTGCCCCTTGTCCCCTAGTGCCAACCCAGGGACTGACATACCTCCAAGGCTGAGCACGAGGCTTTGAAGCTACTGAGCAGATGGGAGGCAGCACTCCTTACGCTGACGGCAAGGGCTGAGTTTATATTGTAGAGCCTCGTATCTGGACAAATACAGGACAGGTTTTGTCTGGAGATGGTTCAGCAGCATCAGCACAAAATGAGAAGGTGCTTTTCTTCATGGGGTTATGGCAGGGGTATTTGGGTTTTCCCGGACAGCGTGATGCAATGCAAACCAGCCAGGAGCCTTCTCAAGCCACACAGCCTTCAAAGGGAGGAAAGCATCCAGCCAGGCAGCCATGCCCTGCTCTGTCAGTGACCCCCGAGCTTGTGGGAGATGCAGTGTCCAGGAGTTCTCCCTGAACAGGTTACCTGCCCCTCTGGCTACAGGGCCCTGTGAGCCTGGTGCCCCGCTGGTATCATTACATCACTCGCTGGGTTAGGTTTCCTCATCTGGAAGAAGAAACACCTGCACCTCACAGTGTCCCTTGGAGAAAAGCTCCTCTGGTGCATGAGTATGGCCAGGATGAGCCCTTCCATTGCCACTCTGCCATGGGGGTACAGAGCTGCTGGCTCTCTGGGGCTGTGGTGGGGACACATGCCACCCCACGAGGGGACATGGCTGGTCCCTGGTGCCGCAGTGAAGGCTGGTGCCATTTTCTTGGCAGTGCAGCAGCATGATGCCAGGCTGTCGTTTGGCATCTCCGTCAGTGTCACGGCTGTCAGGTATCAGTGCAGGGAGCACTAACCTCTCCTGAGCATCTCCAGATACAGACATTTCCCGGTTGACAGCATCACAACGATGATAGACACATGCTTGGCAGGAGCCCCACACAGCCCTTGGCAGTGCTGCCTCAGCCAGCACTGTGATGGAGACACTGGGATGCCAACCCATCCCCTGCCACCCCCCGCGTGTCTGCCCCAGGGTCATCACCTGGAGCTCCCACATGGGCATGGCCCTGCAGCTCAAACGCTTTATCCAAATGTTAGGAGCTGCACAGAGGTCCAAGACCCTTGGGGTGGGCCAGGGCAAGCACTAAAGCGAGGGGAAACACCACATATCTGCCAGGCAGCCCTCCCAGTATGTGCCACTGGGGCACAGGAGAGGACACACAAGGACCTTACGCTGGATAGGGCACCTGGTGTGCTTCAGGGAGGGACGGCAGCCCCAGGGGTTGCTCCTAATGGGGTGAACAAGCCCTGAGGGCCAGGATGGTAGTGTACTGCCTCCACACAGCTCTGAGCAGGTCTGGTTCATGCATAGACTTCTTACCACAAGCATCACTTCAATGTACTATTAAAGATGCAGAACTTGGAGGAATGCTGTTAAAATGCTTGAACTATACAGTGCTGTGGCTTTTGCTTTCACAGCGCCCTTGTTCCTCTCCATTGAGGCTGTCCATAGAGGGTAGGAAAGCATCTGACACCCGTGTTAAATGTCAGTGAAACAGCACTGAATTCCCACAGCAGGCAGAAGTGCTGTTAGCACAGACAGTAGGAAGCTCCAGGGGAGGAAGGAGGCATGGACCCAGCACAGGAATGACTGGATGAGCAGGAAGGGTCAGCACCCCAGCCTCTGCAAAACCTGCCCCTACACTCACTGCCAGACTGCCTGCATCATCTGTCCAGTGAGGAGTCAGGGTTGACAGGTCACTGGTGTCAAGCAGGGCTGGGGAGGAGAAAAAAGCTGTCATGGACCGGCAAGCCTCTCCCCAAAGACAGAAGGGGAGACAGGTGAGCAAGAGGATGCAAAGCAGAGAGGGGAGGAAGAAGTGACAGGTACCTGACCCCAGGGATGTTGTGGTGGCCAAGACTGTGGAAGGGGAGATGGTAGCCAGTCCCCACAGGATCCCTCATCTTTCAACCCTCCCTTGACATCTCTTCTCTTGCCTTTCCAAGGGCTTTGAGGGGTGCAGTGATCAGGATGGTTCTGGCACGCATGCTTTAAAAGCTAGCTGCCAGATGTCATCAGTAGGTTTCAGAGCTTCTAGGCTTTTTCTTCCTACCCCTGAGCTGCTCAGATGGAGTCTGACCAATACCTGGAGTTGTATAGAGAGAGGATCAGACATCAGGAGAGGAAAACCATGCTGTGTGGGAACACTGCATGGCTTCCAGGTCCAGTGTTGGCATCCAGTGCTAAACACTGTGTTGCATGTGCTCAGCTCCTGAGGAAAGCAGGCAGTGTCCCTGGTCCTTGGTGAAGGCTCGTAGCCCTCAGTACAAGCAAAACCACAGTGGAAATGTCCCTCAGTGGCACAGACCCCATCCCCATTTGACCATCACCACCAGATGCAACCAGGCTCCCCCAGTGCAGAAAGAATCCCCCCAGGACAGGGGAGGAATAATGAAAAGTTGCTCATTCAGAATGACACTAGCTTTAAGGGCAACCCCTCAACGCACAGTGCATCCGTGCCCAACACGTCATTTAATAGAGTTGTGGAGAGACTACAAGCTATGCAGCGGTCAGCTAGCTGAAGCCTTACAGTGCCACATGGCATTGGTAGCATGTAGTGGATGTTGTGCATGTGTTTCACAACCAGCTGCCAGATGCTGGATCACATCTGGGAGAATGGCATCAGGAAGAGCTCCCCTGTCCTGGGGGAGAGGCTCACACTCATATCTCCAGGGGTGAAGTGATGTTTGAGCAGCAATGGAGCAATCCTGCTTTTCCCATCGCACCCCTCAGCCCCTGCTGCTGTGGCAGAGGATGGGGGCAATGGCATTCATTTTAGTTTTTACAGCCCTCAAGAAAAAGAGGATTTCAGAGGGATTTAAGCACAGTTCCCTAAATAGCTCCTTAGAATTAAGAGTTTTCACAGGGGATTATTTCAAGAGGCTGCCTGCAGCAGGAGGATGAGGCTGGCATGTGCTGGGGAGGCGAGGGGTCGGAGAACAGGCAGGAGCGCCGTAGGTGAGCACAGGGCAGTGGTGTCCTGAATCACAGCAAGGGTAAGAGGGCAGCATCCCATCCCCTGGCCATGCATGTATCCGTCCTCTCTGCTGGGCGAGCCAAAAGGAATGAGGAGCAGAGTGGCCATCAGCAAGGGACAAATGGTGGGAACAGCATTAAAATGGTTCTGTCACTGGCACAAGCATGGCACGTGCCTTGGGGCTGGTATCCAAAGCCTGACATCAAATAGTCAACGTACAGATATGGCAGCTTTGCTGGACCTGCCCATAGTGGCACTTCTGAAGTGTGGGATGAGCTCAAGGAGGTGTCCCCATTCCTGTTTTCTCACTTAGATGGGAAGCCTCCATGCGATGGAAGTGGGAAGGCTCTTCCAGCACTAAGGATGGGATCAATTTGAAATGCTGGAGAAGGGAATCAATCAGACAGAGCTTAACTAAGATCAAATTCCTCCCTGCAAGGTTATGAATGTTGGAATTTGCAGATCCAAACATTCATGGTGGAAATTTAAATACTGCAAAACCAGGAAAGACCACAAAACCTTTCAGAACAGGCACAGCTCTGCAGAGACTGGTGGAATATGGATTGAAATGCACAAAGCGATAGCATTGCTTGGCAGTGATTTCTGGTGCAAAGAGGAAAAGAAGATAGCTGGAACGTCATTATAATTTTGATATTGGGACGGAAATGATGGAAATTGGTTCTTAGGGACTGAATCCTGCAAAAAAATGAGCTCCTCCAGGGAGTCCTGAGCTCCAGGCTTTCAGCAGGCAGAAGGGTTGAGCATGCATGCAGCAAGAAGCTGAGCCATAGGCACAAAGGAATAAGTAATAAGGCTCAAGGAGAACACATGAGAGAAGCAGGGAAGTGGGGCTGGTAATAATAGAGGTAGAAATGAGGAAATAATAGAAAGCAGAAGAGAAAGGAGGGAGAGCTGTATGTGACAATGGTGGAGACAAAGCAGGAAGAAGCAAGCTGAGTTAGATCATTTCCACTGGGTGGATGACAGAGGAGCTAGTGAGGTAGGAGAATGAAAAGGAGCAGGGCAGGAGGGAGCACAAAGGAGAAGGTCACAGGCAGGAAACTGAGCAAATGGTTGAATCTCATAAAATACTGTTATTATAAGCATCCTGCGTGAAGGCTAGCCCATTCTGCTACACCTGCAGTGGTGTTCCGCACCCGCCACAGGCAAGCCACAAGTCAGAGAGATACTGGGACTAAAATCACAGCACAGCGAATTGGAGATTTAGGGATTACCTCTGCTACCAGGGAAGGGACTTTGCCTTCTGGACCCTTCCTTCTCCACTCCCCTGGAGGAACAATCTGGATAGCACAGCCCTTTTGAACAGCTCCCCCCGCAGCAGAACCCTTCAGACGAGAGTTTCAGAAATGACCACTGACACAGACCTGAGCTGCCCAAACAAAGTTGGAAAAATCAGGGTATTCCATGGGTTTAAGGCCTTGCTCAAGAATTGACTCAAGAGCCCTTTGCCCACCACCCACCTGCAAAAGCCTCGGTCTGCATTTAAGGGGAGGGAGGTTATGTGACCTGGATGCAGAGGCACAAGTAGGTTTCTAGTAAAGGTCATCACTACAGAGGTCAGAGGTCTCTGATCCAAAATCCCTCCAAGATGCCTCTTTGCGCATCCATTTTCAACACAGATACCCCTCTGAAAGGACATACATGTGTACAAAGAGTGGTTTCCTTTGCCTCCTATTTCATAAAAAAAAGGTCAAAGTGGGATAGAAAATTTCAGCTGTACTAGTGTTGGCAATTATGGGACAAGGAAAGATGACATGTCTGACTGGCTGAGATTAGTTGTGATGAACTATGACTGCAGCTTTCAGGGTTTGCCCTTTGGCTTTACAAGATCAAGCCTGTAAATGTGGTGTTTCCTCATGCCTGTGTAACAGCTGTGATTTTTTTGATGCAAACACCTAACGATCAGATGTGGGACAGGGCCTGGCATCCACAACCACTAAGAGACAGGGTACAAATACAAACTGGTCACACACCTAAAGCAGTGTTAGTTGCGATGCATTGGCATACTGGCAGGGGACCCAACCCCAAAGGTCACTGATTTCAGCTTTAACCAGACAACTTTTTTCCTCTTTACATTACTGATCCTCAGGCTGGAACACTAGTGGACGAGCAGGTTGGCCACAGGCAGGGACAGACAGCCATCCTGCATCATTTTGCAGTTCCTATGGGAGCGCAGGGCAATTGCGCAGAGGTTCACCCTTCCCTCAGCTAGTCCCTGCAGTGGGATCCTGGGGCACTTCAGCACTTCCCCTACAAGACCAGACCCTTTGGTAGGAAGCATGAGTGGGACATATGTTTTCTAGGGCACTCAGTTCTGAATGTTGATTCTGAGCTGAACCTGGGAGTGTGAGCAGACCTGGCAATGCTGTCAGGGTGCCAAGGGAGAGGAGAGGCTAATTTGCACTAAGTCACACCGTGTGTGCTTAGGCATGACAGGAGCTCATCAAATGCTCTGAGTACATGGGTATCTCTGCATGCGGTCATTGGGAGGCTGTCACAAATGGGAGCATCACTGTCACACCTGCACATGGTGCTATGATGAGTCACCTCCTTTCTCAAGGCCTTATAAACAAGAAATACGCTGCTGCTCTGAAACCCTTTCCCAGCCTTCTCTGAGCTGTTATACACTCCTCCAGCACCATTTACAACAGCTCCTGGCCCCTGTGATATTTGTCCTGGGAGCTGGGATGTGCCAGCATCAGCAGCTGTCTGTACAGACACTTCCCGAAGTCAGCCAGCACTGGTTCACAGGGGTAGATGCAAGCATGGTGGTTACATCCTACCAGCTCCTCCAGGAGCTCCTGCATTCCACTAGCTGGGACTTCAGCATTGCCACTTCCCAAAGAGGTATAAGCTAAACCACCCATGGGCACTATGCTGCATCTTACTGCTTACCACTGTGGGACACAGCCAGGGAGGGTGCTTGGCAGGAACTACCCTGTTCCAGTTGGAGGAGATTTGCACTGTGATGGAAAGTCACCCCATCACACAGCACACCCCTTGCCTCTGCACACAGCTGGTTGCAGCAGACAGTGGTCAGTGTAGGAGACTTGGTGAGCTTCTAGCTAAAAGCACTCCACGCACCCTTTTAACTGTATTTTAGGGTCACAAAGTGGCTGCTTCACACAACTGAAGGGGCAGGATGCTTCAGAATGAAAAGGTTGCCTAAATTGCTAGGCTCTGGCTCACATTACCAGCCCCAATGGATGCAGTAGAAATGGCTGGAGACTGAGCAGGGGTGAAACACAGCACCTATGAGCAGCACACACTGTCCTGATGCCCTACTCCATTTTGGGGGTGATATTCTACAGCTACCAGCATGCTGGACTCCTCACTGGAATCCCTCATTGGGCCACATCCCCTCCAGTTATGCATTGGCTAGTGCTGGTTTATGCTAGATCACTCACTAACCATCTGGGATTTGAACCTGGTGTCACCTGGCTCTCTGGGGTGACAGCACAGCTGTGTGCTATGGGATGCTCTGTGAAGGTTCACAGGGACAGGCAAAGGAAAGGTTTACAAGTGGTCAGCAATCAGTCTAAGCTCTCCTTGTCAGGAGGAGGAAGACCTGGGCACCAGCCAGTTCTCTGTGAGAGCCTGGACCAGGATGTTGCAGGAGGTGGTCACCGGTGGCAGTCCTGCAGGGCCTTGGTAAGCCAGGCTGGGAAGAAGAGGAGCTAGAGGGTTCCTCTGCCAGGTTCTGTCTTGGAGAAGTGAAAGCCACTGCAGAGCCAGGGACAGCGAGCTGTGCCGGAGGAGCTGGGGGGACAACGTGGCGTGAGCAGCTACAGGGCAGGGTGAGGAGGTCCAGGCTCTCCTAAACAGCAGCATCCGAGATCCTCCCGTTCAAAGACGTCTTTGGCTGGAGGCCGTTGTTCTGAGCATGCACCTCTGGCCTGGGCTGTGTCATCTGCTGCAAGCGCTGCCCGGGAATGAAGGAGAGAGCGTGTTAGCCAAGGGGACCGGAACAGTGGTGGGACACCCAGGGCATGGCAGCAGCTGAGCTGAGCATTGGGATCCTTCACCCCAAGCCTCAGAGGTGATCCTACTTAGAGGGCGAGGGGACGGTGCATGTGACAGGAGTTACTCCTCCAGCACCATTCAGCAACCCACTGAAAGCCTCTGCAAGTCACCTTTGCTTTGGTGCTGCACACAGTACAGCAGCTCCTCTGTTTATCTGAATTACAGACATTACTTGTAACACAGGCAAACTGTTACCAGGCACTACCAGCTGCAAGTAGGAGCAAGAGAAAGCTGCAATGTCACAGGCTCCTGAGCAGACCCACTTTCCCAGTTTCTGTAATTTTTCAGCTAGTGTTGATTATAAAGCAGAACTAAGTATTCACAGCAGGCTAACAAGGTTACTCTGTGCCACTGATGCAGATCAGACCAGTCCTTCTGCACAAACCTTTGCACTAGCAGCAGTTCCTGTCACCCTGAGCTGATCGAATGAAAATTGCAGAGCCAAGTAAACTGAAGCAAGAATGCAGGAAAACATGGAAGAGCAAGTAATTACTGGAGGTGTGGACTGAGCATCAGGAGCGATGAAGAAGGATGAATCACTTTTGCCTGTCAGGGAGAGACTGATGCTGTAAACTGCACAAGAGAAGGCAGAGGAGGATTGAGCCTGACCTGCATAGACATCACCAAGTCAGGAAGAAGCTCCTTCCAGCAAAGGGAAACAACCTTCTACTGTTCAATACCACGGAAGTGGCTGTTGCTAGGTGAAGTCCCTGAAATGTTCACTGAGCCTCTTCTGCCATTCATGGTCTTCCCCTTCGCCACACACACACATTCATGCTCAGCAGGATCAAAACGACTTGTAACCTTTCCTATCTGTCAAAACCACTTTGTTCAGCATTGGCATCTGATTTCCCTCCAGCTCTAGCTCTATTACAAACTAATCCAGGATCTGTGCATATAACAGGCGAAAAATTCTCTCTTTCTCTCTGACACCAACACACGCAAGCGCCTACTTTCTTACTGCTGCCATCTGCTGCTCACTCTTGGGTCTATGAAGAATGGGAAGGAGGTCTCAGTCTCCTGATGCGTATGGTGCTGTTAGAGAGAGGCTGCACACCAGTCATTCATGCTGCTGCCTGGTACAGATGATTTGTGTGAATCGTAGAATCATAGAGTCATAGAATGCTTTGGGTTGGAAAGGATCTCAGTATCATCTAGTTCCAAGCCCCCTGCCATGGGCAATGACCTACTATTGGAATTGCTGCTGGCCTTCTACCCAACATCACCAAAGTGACTTGACGTAACACCTTGGCTTGAGCCTTGCAGGAACACCAGTGCAGATCTCAACACCAATGGCAAGAACCTAAACTCAGCATCAGATGACATACCAGAAACTGGAAGCAGATCAGAGACACCAGCTCCTACATCAGAGCCCATCCAAATGGAGAGCTGGAGAAGGAAAAACTAAATCCACCTGCAGCTTGACCTCAGAGGCAGGTAGCCTGACGCTGACCTCAAATCAGCAAATCCAGCTAAAACATTTCTGACTTGCGCATTGCTCAAAATACAGCATCCATGAAGCAGACCCATGGGATTTACATGGCATCTGCTTGCTGTTGCAGCTGGGCTGGGAAAGACATAAATCAGCACCCCTGCAGTGACTTCTTATTCCTACAGCTTGCAGCAGACAGCACAAAGCCAGGGACTTCGTGCACAGTGCTCTCAAGACTGAATGTCAACATTGTAAATAAGATCTCAGCAGTAATTACTAGGTCTGACATACAGAGACTCGTGATTCACTGCTACATAAAACCCTGCTCAAATTATCTAAGCAAATGTTTTAAACAGGATCGGAGTTGCTGGTATTGTCCATCCTGCATGAAAGTCTTCCTTGCTTCTTAACCACCATTCACTGAGTGCTCCTAGCAAAGCACATGGCAAACTACCATCCGTGCATGTCTCTGTCCCTAGCAGGTCTTAGCCCTGAGATACTTCAAGCCCTCATGTTCCGGGGATGTTGATCTCTCCGATGGGAAGTGCCAAGTAACCATGCTCATAGCCAGGGATTGCCAGGAACTGGGATTCCCCTGGATTAAGAAACCTCAAGCATTTTCCCAGTCCCTTCCAGGGCTCCAGTCCCCCGCATCAAAGGGATATTCAGCAGAGGAGGGCTTCCTTTTTGTAATGGTGGCAATACAAAACTCAGTGAGGCACAATGGACCTAAGGATAGACTACCTGAAGGTCTACACACTTGGCCAGACATAGTAATGACATACTGCTCAACAGTGCTCCCAGCCATTTAGATATCAGTTAGTGCTCAGTAGTGCTAGTAAGTCCCCTTCAGCCAGCTGATGTTGCTGGAAGCCATTCTATGCACTGGGGCTGATGTGAGTCCTGGAGGAGTGGGTGTGCAGAGCTCCTGCAGCACCAACCTGAAGCACTCTGACAGCTTTGGCAGAGCAGAGCCTGCTTGGTTCTCTTTAAGGTTAGTTCAGTGGGGGGATTACTATAAGCAAAGAGTAGGAGAGGAGTGGTGAAGCTGCTCATACCTGCCGGAGGGTCCCTGTTGAGGTGAAGAAACAGTACAGCATGTATCCTGGAATCAGTATCATGGAGGACAGAGCCATAAGCCAACCAATGCCTTGTCCCCACACCGGATAGACATATTTTCCCAGTGTCAGAGGGGTCATTTCCACCACACTGAAGAAGAACACGCCCTGGGAAAAGAGTACCACCATTGCAGGTGAAGGTGTGCAAAACTGGGGTCCATCCATCCACTCTTTCCTTCACTGTCCTCTTAGCTCCCAACAGTCTCACAGCAATCCAGCAGCTCCTCCAACTAGTCTAGATGGTCTCAGCCCACCACCTGGTAATTTCATATAATTTCTTATTGTCCTATGTAAAAAGATGGAGTTGGAATACCCTGATTTCCTTCCTCACTAAACCACTTGGACTAGTTGTGCTCCCACACCATCTCCTAAGCACATTAACGGGATCCTCACAGCTGGTCTCAGGAACCTCCATCTTCTTATAATTGGCATTCTCACACCATTCCCTGGACTACTTGTGTTGAAAACGCAGGAACCAGCAAAGGCAGAATTGCTCTGCAGGCAGTTATGCTGCATTTGCTGCTAACTTTTGCTCTGGCAAGTCCACCAGTGGCTGAGGCAAGAGCTGGAGTAGCTGAGACTCATTAATAGCTTTTTTAAAACACTAAAACATTTGCCTATTTTTTGGCATCTCAGAAAGAAAAATGAAGAACTGATGGCCTTATTTAGAGTAAAGAAATCACCTAGAGCTTTTCATATGGTGATTTCCAGCAGGCAGAGTAAAAGAGGCTCCTTTTATTGGAGATGGGTATTACTTCACCTATCTCAATTCTGCCCAGGACCACCTTGCACCACACCTATACTGGGTTGAGAACAGTGTTTCCCCTACACTCCATCCAAACTAAGAGGCCCTTCTGGATCCAATCCTGCAGAAAGGCTGTCCCAGGTCTTACCAGGCAGACAACAGGAGTGAAGAAGGCCCAGCAGATCTTCCACCACATGCAAGGTTTGTAGCCAATCATTTCTTCAATGTTCCCATAAAACCTGTTCACACCTACAGGAAGAAATGAGCACTGAAAAAACATCTGTTCTCAGCACCACGGTCATCACCTCTTCTCATAACATGGCACAGGCTAGCCAAAGCAAGAGGGTGACGTGAGAAGCATTATCTAGAGGGGATGGGGTACAGAGACATAAAAGCAAATTCGTCCTAGCAGCTTGCGTGTTCCTGGTGTCCTCTTGAAGGACCAGAGGGCAGGATTCTAGGCATCTGCCAGTTTGTGCAGAGGTCTTTGTGGTGGTGAAGTGAGTTGACAGCCTTCTGATCCTGATTTGCTCGAGTTATCAACCTAAGCTATTTTCAGTTGCAAAGTTTTCATTGGCTTGGCTGTGGGAGGCTTCTGAAATAACTCACCATGTCCATGGAGAAAACAAAGGAACAATGTCTTTTGTGCTTACCATAACACCAAGAAATTGAGATGGTCTCAAAGAAGACAAGAAAGAGAAGACACATGCCACTAGCAGAGTAGTAATCAAACAGCTTGAAGACATAAATGCCACCCTGAGAAAACAAAACCAGGGTCAATGAGGTTAGTTATAGATTATGGATGACAATATCAGCTAACTGCTTGGATTGGTACTGTCTGCATCTGCTGGCTTTAATGTTCATTTCCTAGGACAGTAGAGATGGCGTTGCAATGTTTCCACCGCAGTGTGGTTCCCAGCAGCAAAACTGATGTGCTCTTGCAGACAATTAGCTGGCTTTTTCAGGCATGGCCAAAGGTTACAAGAAAAGCAGAGATTCACTAGGATGTCTTATTTCTCTCAGGTTTAGATGGATTAACTTAATTTAGTGTGCTCTGCCCTCCCAGGAGTTTTACCAAAGCCTGGCCTCATCATGAACCTACACTGATTCACCAAGGGTCTCCAGACCACTCAGCCCTAACCTCCACACGTGAATTTTAGCTTCAGCCCCAGAGGCTCAGGGCCTCAACAGACTGGTCTTCTTTATATTATCTTACCTCAGCTTGGGCTCTTCTGGCTTAAGCCACTATTGTAAATAGAAAAACCCATGCCAGACTGACACGATGGTGGCAAAAATTACAGAACCGTCCTAAGACACTTGCAATGTATTAATGTTGAGCAAGCCCATTTCTACAGCATTAGGATGGCTCCTAGGATGCTGTCACTTCTCCCAAAGCTTTTGGTGTTGCTGTGCTATGCCAAAGTGACTAGAAATGTGACAAGAGTGGAAGTATGAGCATGGCTAGCTGTACCTGGGTGATGTTGGAGAATCCAATGAGATAAGAGATGAAACAGACTACTGCAATGAAGACCTTCTTCCTGGCTCTCAGGAGATGAGGATACTCATCCATCAGGGCTGTAATGAATCCTTCCACAGTGCAGAACTACAGGAAAAAGTATACACCAAGGACATAAATATATAAATATCTTAGCTGGACATCACCCTCACCTACATTTAACTCCAGCATTGAGAACCAGCATTGCTTTAAGAGCTCCCTACAAACACTAGAAGAAAACGATGCATCTCTGCACAAAGTTGGCCTGAGCCATCTTCTGAAAATGCTTCTCTCCCTCCACTGAATACAGAGGGAGCTAAAAACACTGTGGTTAAATACCTATAATTGCCTGAGATAAATCTCTGCCTTTTTGCTCCCATGGAAAGCCTCTTCTTTCTTTCCCTGAACCTTCTAGGGCCACCCTACCACTGCCTTGCTCCTGCATGCTGCCAGGCTCTCTGTCACAGCTGTGTGTCTGTCTGCTGCTGGGACATGTGCAGGACCTTGCTTGCTCTTCCTTTTTCATGTGTACTGTTCTCAGCCTATTGCAACAGTGCTTGTGCTGTTCAATGATCTAAAATCATTAAGGAGCTGCATTACCCACGGCCCAGTCTCACATGCATGTGCATCATAATAGTCCTTAATAGTACACAGCCCTTCATACCACTTTTTCCAAGCACACTACATTAAATGCATGTAGCACATTAAAAGCCCATCCTCACAGCACATGGTCTTTCCAGAGCTAAAAACACCTGCATGGCTTGTGCAGTGCTATACCAGGCACAGCATATTAATAGTGTCTGCACCATAACACATAGAGACATCCCCATGAGCATAACCTTCAAATCAGTTTTCCTACTAGTTCTGCCCTATGGCATGTATGTATGTGAAGTGCATCCTTCCCTCCTACTTCTTGATGAATTGTGAGATTCACTTTTATATCTCACTCCCAGAAAACACTGGCAACGTACAGCTCTCAGAGAGCACATCCTGCCTCTAGCAAAAACCTTGTGAGGTTTATGAGGGCAGCAGGCTCCTGGCTCCCCTGGTCAGCCTGAGTAAAGGTACAAGCCAATGCAATGAAAACGAAAGAGGTGTCATTGCTCTTCAATGTCAGGGACATCCCTGTCCCTGCGACAGCACTCTAAAAAGTGCTGGCATTTTAAATTCAGCTTTAAGTAGGGAAACTAGGAGGAAAAAACCTAGAGTGGAAGGGGAGGTGCAGGTAAAGGTACACAGACTGAAAAGAGGAGCAGAGGGCTGCAAAGATGTAAGGGAGGAAAGTGGGGAGTCTGAGCCATGCCTATAACTCGTCATAGGTGGCGGAGGAACACCCTGGCTGCTGGGGCTGGCTTCCATGTGGGACAGGGCAAAGGAAAGGCAGATTTTTCTGCCCACGGCTGTATGTCCCCAGAGAGTCAAAGCTCAACAGCTTCAACTCAAGTTTTTAATGAGCTAAACCTTTTATGTCATGGACACAAGCGCTATTAAAGCATCTTTTGCCATTTGGGCATGGGTTAAGCTGCCTTTAAAGTCATTGACAGCAAGCTCCTCACCCCATCCTACCTGGCTCGCTGTCTGCAAGACTCAGGACTGAGCTGCCACCACAGTGTGAAGAGCCAGAGTGATCACAAAAGACACTGTTGAAAGCTATTCCTTCTACATGGATGCATGGCCAGGCACTGCTGGAGCCATGGGGCACCAGGCAACGCAGAGAGGTAAAAGGGTGCATAGTGTGGCCAGGGGTTGTCAGGGGCAGAGGGTGGGTGTGAGTGGTGTCCATCAGAGAAGAAAAGAAAAAGGTGCTCAGATAACAGGACAGATTAAAACTGACAGCCCTTTGGTGCAGAAGAGGGATCAAAGTCAGGGAAAGCACAGAAGGAATCAGAGGAAGATGGGTGTTGAGCAACAGGGTTAGAAAGTGAGTTGAAAACTCTTCCTCCTACCAAAATTAAGCTGCTATGTAATATATGAGGTGGGGGAGCAAATGGTGGTACACTGCTGCTTCTAGCCATAAAGCATGCAATGGCCTTCGTACTATTTACTGAAAATTGCCTCATGCTAGCCTCAAGCTTCAGAGGTGTTGCGGCCTGGAGGAGGCTCTTATATCCAACCCTGGGGACTGTGGCCTGGGGACATTGGGGTCCATTATTTCCCAACCTGCATAACCATCCTTAGGTGCTCGCAAGAGATTAAGTAGGCGCCTTCAATCTCTTTCCAGAAAGTTTTGTTTTTCTCACCATCTCCAGCCATGTACTTAGCAGATGTGGCTAATATATTTAGCGCATATTCTGTTCTTCCTCATGCCTCGCCCCATGATACCGTTTCTCTACTAAATATTCTATTCCCATTCAGAGCCTCTTTTGCTTTTTCCCCCTCTAGGGGATTAGTCATTACACAAGCTGCTGTGTCTGATAATGTGGGCTTAGGAGTCAATATAAATGCCATCTTGGTCTGAAGGGAAGTCTCTCTCCCAACCTCTTCCAGTATTGGGGGCCACACATAACACCCTGTCTGCACCCATAAGGGGGTTCAACCACAGCTAGCAAATGTGCAGCAGAGAGCCATGAGAGTGGGGCTTGCTGCTGGCAGCTGGAAAGCCTCATGAATAACCTGTGAGAGACGGCCTCACATGGGACAGACGCAGGCCTGCAGTCACAAGGCTTGCTGGCTCCCCTGGGGACAGAACGCCTGACCTGGAAACTGGTAGGTTAAAAGAAAGCATTAGCATGTTATGCAAGAAGGTCTAGACGCAAGAGAGCTAAAGCCCGGGTGGATCAGAGGCAGAGCGAACATTAAGGCACATGAGCAGCAAGTGGGGGCACAGGAGGGAGGTGCATATCTATCAATATAGGTCATTCATCCCGTTCAAGCAACTGCAGATGAGGCAGAGGTAGTTGTGCTACATCTGCAGAAAGCTTGCGATCAAAACAAATGGGCATACGTGAACCTACTCCCACCATAGTTAAGGGGGTGGGCCTTGTCCCTGCATTGCAAATGTAGATCTCAACCCTATCTTCCTTTGCTATTCTGTCTTCCAAGCATCTCTGCTGTAGAGATAGTGTCAAGGGACAGCTCTGCCCATCAGCCTTGGGGATGCAGGGTGCAAGAAATGCCCTATGTCCCTGCCGTGCATCATGGGCTGGGCTGCTGACCCAAATGAAAAATGGCTGCTCCCCATTTGCAAATGATATCTAATCAGCACATAGCAAAAACGTCTCTTTTGGTTTTGAACTAGATGCCTCAAAACACACGTGCGATTGTAGTAGCTGTTGTTGCAGCCTGTGCTATTTGTTTTATACACATAAGCTGCCATGCTGTTAATGGTGTGTTTTATTGAATTAGAGCTCCATCATGCAAACAGAAAGCTTCTTCACGTGTATTTATCTGTGCTTTTCTAAAAGCTTGTTTTCCTTTTGATGCCTCGTTCCCTCCCTGTCCCTCCTCCTCCTCCAGGCAGTGATATTCCCCATGTGATACCCCTCTGAGACTGGCGGTCAGAAGGGACCTAGAGAATTTCAAGTGGTATTTCAGAAGCAAATGCAGCACACGAATTCCACACAGTGCTTAGAGGGCTTATTGTCATGTCTCAAACTATTTAACAGGGCTGAGTGAATAATCCACTGAGAGCACTATTTAATTTTTTTTTTCTGCAAATGTAGCTTCTTTTGAATCATTTCCTTATATTTGGAATTATTTGCCAAAGAATGTCTGTGGTAATGCAGAGGTGAGCTTTATGATGTGTTGGTAGGAGTGTGCCATAACTGAAATCCAGATTTGGTTGATTAGATTTTCCTGGAAAGCAAATGTGACATTTTGGGAAAAGGTCTGAGTCTGATTAGAAAGTAGTCTTGGCTTTATGAGCACTACCTGTAATCCAAGAGGGCATCCATTTTGTACCAGTGGTTTGCAATGTAAGGAAAGAGCATGCCAGCACAGGGGAGGATGTGACAGACCAAGTATAGGCTTTTGAAGGACCCTTTGGTTTTGATGCACTCAGAAGGGAGCTATGCTGCAATTCACTGCTTCACTGGGTAGCCACTTTTGTGCTGAATTGTCAGAAAAAAAAAATTATCACTGCTTGTAAAAACACAGAGACCATGATTTCTTTTGCTCTGTGAGGGGCATGAGGGGGGCAGGAGACCTTTTGTTATATCCAGCTGCTTCACCGTCAAATATCTTGTAAGGCCTACCTGATGGCAAAGCAGTCAGGTACCCAGACTTTCCCAAAGCATGGCTCCTTCCTTCTGCCAGGACCTCCCCCTGCTCACCTACAAACCAGGCAAGGGTGCTTCAGCTCTGCTCAGGGGCGCTTTTATTGTCAATAATGCCAAAACACTGCATCAAACCACCATCCTCACACCATGGGAGAGACCTGATTCAAGCGTTGCATCACTGCCCTTCTCAGCATGACCTGTCAACACTGTACCAGAGCACTGGGTCTGGTTGGAGGCTGGTACCTTATGCAGAGATGCTTCTTCCAGCTCCTGGGAGTAAGAAGATGGAGACTTTCTACCCTAATCTATGGAAGTAAGCCAAAGTAATGACATTTTCTTGCTTCACCCCCCATTAGGGGATGGAGGAAATTGTGCCTTACAAGAACAAAGTGGTTATCACTTGAGATAAATCTTTTTCCTTTTTTCTTTGCTCCAAAATGTTTTGGCAGGGATAGTCTCCTGCTAGCCCCACTTAGAGCTTTTCAGCTCAGCTGCCAGAGTCACCCAGCAAGATGGGAACATGCTGTGCCTATGCAGTAGTGCTGGCACTTCACTGGGGTCAAAAACTGATCTGAATAGAGATAAGCTTTCCAAAGATTCTCCCCTCCTAAGGAAGTGGTGACTGTCTTATAAGGCTGGTTCTGCTGGGCTGGTCATTGCTCTTATTTTTAATTGGCAGCATGAAAAAGACTGGTGCGTTAGGTAGTAGTCAGATACCATCACACTTGCAGTATGTCTACATTAGGGACAAGCACAGAGGTGATGACCACACGGGAGAATTTGTTTCATGCAGCTACATCTCACCATGAAGAGTAAGAAAAGACGCTGCTCTGCACTGTCCCAAGATGCAGATGGGACATCACCATTGTATGTGAAGACATCTTTGCATGTTACCCCACTTCGTCCCTGCGTAGTCTCACCTGACTATCCAGACCCAACATCATCAGCATGGAGAAGAAGAGGATCGACCAGAGAGGGGACAGGGGCAGCTGTGTGACAACCTGCGGGTAGGCGAGGAAAGCCAGTCCAGGGCCTGCAGTAACGAAAAGAGGGATAAGCCCATGTTTATAAAGCATTTGATGGGAAGTCTGAGCTAAGGGGTGCACTTGAACAGGGAGAGTATGATCAGTCAAGAACTGCAGGTATTTAATACAGGAGTTAGAAACACCTGGCCCTTCACTCATGACACATCAACACAGTGGGGTGCACAGGGGTAGAATGGGAGAAATGCTTTGCCTTTTCTCTTCTTTCTTCTTTCTAGAACTGGATAAATGCTTTGCCTTTTCTCTTCCTGCAAGCAAGCAAGTCATCAAATCATTGCTTCCAAATTGAGCTGGAGCACTATGCTACAAAATAAACTGATATTCAGAGCTGGTTATAACTTTCCTGATGGTTTTGTTTTTTTCCATCACAAAGCAGAGTTTCTTGAGATAAAAGCTTTCTCAGGTAAGGCAGCAATTTCAAAATACGTTTTTCTGCAAAAAGGCAGTGTCCCATCTCGGGTAAGAAATTTTTCTGTGATTACAGTTTCAAAATTTTGCATGCAAAAGGAACTCCAAATGTTGATCACATCTACTGAAAACATAGCTATTCTCCATAGGGAGGTTTTAGAAAGCAAATGGCCGAAATATTTCGCTGCAGCAAAAGCAGATGAAACTTCAGCACTGAAAGGAGGAGATAATTAGAAGCAGGTGATATCCCCTGCAGCCAGAGTGTGGTGAACATCATCCACAGGTACCTGAGAACTTTCTTGCAGGGAGGGGATGCCAAGAGGGTTGCACACTTGGGTCCCAGAGCTTAGAAACATCCCATGTTCACTAACAAATTGCGCTCAGAGGTTGCTGTTACATCTGAACCTGGGTTTTTGCTTACCAGAGGAGGCCAGTTCTGAGATTGACTTCTTCGTGATGTGTGACATGAAGCCAACAATAGAGAAAATAACAAACCCAGCAAACACGCTTGTGGTAGAGTTTATACAGCAGACAATGATGGAGTCTCTGGAAAAGAGAAAGAATGGAAAGAAACCACCTGCAGGTCCCTATCAAGAAGCCAGGAAGGAAGACCAAGGCCTTCCAAGAGCAGTTCTTCTGCCTTGGAGAGGTAGCATGGGTGACACGTTACATATCCTGCAGGCAGAGAAGCCCCACTGTGGTGATAACAGTGTGCCCCTTAAGCTCCATGTTGCCAACGAGGGGATGCTGGAGATCAGGCACCCCGAAATCACCATGCCCCCCTGCCTCACCCATGAGCCATGCAGGAAGCTGGTAAAAGACAACAGACCTGTAGACGTTGTTGTGGAAAGTGTTATAGCTCCCCAGAGCGATCAAAGACCCCAACCCCAGGCCGTAAGAGAAGAAGATCTGTGTGGCTGCATCCATCCAGACCTGTGGAGAAGGAGCCAAGAGAGGAGTGCAGCAGGAGTGACTCCATGCTGCAGGCACATGTCCTGCAGCACCTTGGTGCAGGGCTAGCGAGGGAAATGCCACAGGAGCCACCTTGAAACCTGTAGCTATGTTATGCCAACCAGGATTTTCTAACACGGAGTCTCTTGTCCAAACAACTGCAGAGGACAGCTTGCAAAGCTGGTCCCACTGCCCTAAGCTCTTAAAGCCTAGAAGGCACAAGAACAGGGGGCAGACTGTTCCCTTCTTAATGGCAGAGTATTTGAACAACTCTTCTGGTCTTGAGAGCCCCATTTCCAGGATTAGAGCCAATGGAACTGGCAGTACAGTTACCATGGGTGTCCTGCAAGAGGGATCACTGGAACCCTTTGGAAATGATGGGTGTCCAGTTGTCCCCACTCATGACTGGTGTCTCTGGAGCCACAAGAGTACCACTAATGCAAAAGGCAGAGTCTGTGTCCTGAAAAACTTTGCCTTTGCAAGCCATCATGCTCTTCCTGGGTCCCCTCTGTGCTTCCACTGCCCAAGGCAACGTCACTGGCCACCGCTCACCATTTAAGCCCTTCCAAGAAAATTGCTGCTGTGTACTGCTGTGCTGTGCTGCTTCTGAGGCCCCCATGCCAGTGTACAGCATCATCCTTTCCCTGGGACCACCAGATCAAGCCCAAGTCACCAGCCCGGGGACAGTCAGGGGAATGAAGCATTCCCAGCCCAGAGGGGAGTTTCCTTTATTGGGGAAATAAAGGAAACTACCCCCCACCCCGTCCTATGGATAACACTGCTTAAGTACAACAGAGCTGCTACACAGATTGCCATCCACAAAGGGCCTCCCCTCCAGCTTTGCTCAGTCTGTGAGGGTCATGACTGCTTGAACAGGGAACTATTCCAGGGGTTTTTTAATACTTAATATTGAAATGCCCAAGGAAGACTAATGCAGAGACCCCCAGGAGGCAAGAGGGTACAAACCTCAGAGTCAGACAGCTTTCTGAAGTCGGGTGTGAGGTAGAAGAGGATCCCCTCCTTGGCTCCTGGCAGTGTGACTCCCCGGAAGAAGAGGATGAAAAGCATGAAGTAGGGGTAGGTGGCTGAGAAATACACCACCTGCAAGAGACACCACAGGAGAGAAGCCGTCAGCTCACCACTGCCCAGGAGGTTTTCTGCCCATGGTGGCATTGCATTCGGTGTGTCCCCTGTGAGGGGGAAAGGGTGCCCACACACAGCCACTTCTGGCAACGTGTTTTGTGTCTCCGGCTCCCATGTTAGTGATGTTTCTGGCTGTTTGAGGTTTCTCCCTGCCAATGACACACAAGGACACACTGATCACAAAAGTACCAGGCTAAAGTCTGGATGAATTGCCCAAAGACAAGGGAATTGCACAGGGATAAATTTAGTTCACAGAAGTAATCCCTTTAAGTCATCACATCCTTACTGCAGAGCTAAAGCATGTTTCTCTAGTCCAATGCATCAAGTAATGCGAGTCTTGACTCCACTGCTTTCTTTTCAGCACTGTTTCAGGGATTCATAGGTACATGCTACCCCTCATCACAGGGCCTGTACAGGCAACTGCCGGGGCTTTGCTGTGGCTGTGTAGCTAAAACCTATTTGAGAACCACCGGGGAAGTTAACAGCTCAGGTGACCTATGCCTGAAGTGCTTCTTTCTGATCTCTCCTCTAGATTATTCCTCTCATAATATTGTCCTGCTACACCACACTGTGCTCTGAATAATACGTCTCAGCATCTCAGCATCACTGTTTCACTAAACTAAGCAATTACCTTTCTACTGCATTAGCCTGAAATGCTATACAGTGAATAACAACATGCTTCTGATCTGAAGGTCTACCATCAATACCTAAAGGGCAGCAGGAAGATTTTCAAAGGAGGTGATGAGTTTTATTTCCATCAGCAGCATTTTAAGAGACCGTGATTTTCAAAAGGGGAAGCTGAGAAAAGGCCTTGGTCTCTCAAAGGGCTGTCCCAAGGTGGGAAGTGTAAGTAATCTCTGAAAATCTCTTCCCAAATCTCTTCCCAAAGTGACTGAGGGTTCAGACCTATGACTTCACAGGGAAGAGTTATTTTCTATGCTGAGAATGAAAATTACCATAAACAAGGTAGCAATTTTTACCACTGTGAAAGGTAAATGTCAGGTATTTAATAGCATCTACGGCAATTCTGCCTCAGAACACCATATACTGAGTTATAGGCACTTAGACAAATTTGAGCCCAGAAGGACATTTCTATAGTACAGCACTGAGAGGCAGCACTGAGACACCTTACCTTGCCTGTCCACTCCACGCCCTTCCAGATGGAGAAGTAGACCATTAGCCATGCCAGGGCCAGTGTGCCGGCCAGGGGCCAGCGGATGTTGCCGGGCTCCCCCAAGCCTCCAGACATCTGGTGCATGTTCCTCCTAGGGATGGGAGAAGTTGGGTTAAGGGGAAGTCCGTCCCCTGGGGACAGAGATCCCGGAGGTGGCTGGAGAGTGAAGGGCCAGTTGCGGACAAGCACAGGAGACCGTAAACCCCTAACAGAACATTGTGGTGGGGTAAAGGAAGTAGAAGAGAGGCGGGGAGGCTGTTATTCTCTTTACCCATCTGACCTGTGGCTGCAAAGTGCACCCCACGTCCACCCTGGCCAATGGTCAGCTCTGATGCCCTCCTGCCAAGGCTGCCCAAGGAAAGGTGCCAGCAGGCACAGCCACAGCCCCAGCAAGCAGGCGAGATGACCACGGCGATGGGGAGAAACCTGGTGTAGGCAGGCTGAGGACGTACTCCCAGAACTCGGTGACAGCGCTGGTGAGGTTGGTGGTGTCGCCCAGGGAGTAGTTAGAGAAGCAGCGATCGGTGTTCCAGGCATTCCCGCAGCTCTGCCACGGCAGGTCCTGCACCGGCACAAGGAGAGCAGGGTTAACATTAATGTGACATCTCCCAAGGGTAGCAGCAAGAAGCAAGATTTGGCTTCTTTCAGACTGAAACCCCATTTATTCTTGCAAAGAGGATGGGCATCTCCTCTGGATGGGCAGGAGCCTTGTAGCCAAAATAATGATAAATTGTGACACGGCTTTTCCAGGAAACAGTATCACGATGTGATTATGGGAATGCAATAGCTCTAATAAAATGTTAGCAATTCCCTGGACAGAAAGCCATTTCCAATTAACTGTTGGTAATTAATAGCTACTAATTAAAATAGCTACTGGGGGATATTGTGTTTGTAGTCATTACAGCTTTAGGCTAGCTTCACTCAACAAGTGGTTGGAATTTACTTCACAAAGAATAAACACTGATTTATTTCTTATCTCTCATTTATACCAAGCTTCAATGCTTAAAAAGCAATGTAGCATTGAGAATGGGAGCTAACAGTTTGTCTACATGAATAAACTACTGTAACATAAGCCCAGGAGTAAATTTAAAGCATAGTAGCTATTTCATGCAATCCCTGCCCTGATTGTAAGCATCACAAAGGGATTCCTGGGAGATGTTTACACAGTAGGTAACAGTGTGACAGCAGCACACTGCTACAGATTTAATACAATCAGCTCTGGCACTGCACACAATGAGACTACAGTATCAGGGCCTGTCTGAGCAGGCAGGACAACCCACCCATGCCATGTAGTGCCACAGCCAAGGCAACCCAACAGGAGCAGTGATCTGATTTCCTGAGTGTAGTGCGTGTAGATAAATGCAGAATGGCTATTCTGGATGATTTCCCTCTGCAGAAAAGTCCTCAGGCTCCAGTTCAACAAAGCTTTAAGAATTCCTATTGATCCATGGGCACAAACCCCTTTAGAAATACTGTCTGTGTTTTAAGTGCTTTGTGGCATCAGTGCCTTTAAGTGCTGCCTTCACCTGCCATCTAAATCAGTTCACTTTAGCAGATGATACCTCCTAAGGTGCATGCTGGCTTGGCAGAAGAAGGGCTATGGAAGATACAGGCAGGGAAACCCCAATGGTCACTCAGGTTGTTTGCACCCACCCAGTGATTTTATTTTGGACTTGCTGCTTGCACTCAAGCAGATGCAATGAGTCAAGCAGCACTGACAGCAGCCCTTCAACCAAGCAGTTTGCAGAGACTCTTGTAAGTCTGCACATCTCTTATAAGGAGGGGAGGCAGGGGAAGCTTTTGTTGCTGCTCCATTTCCTCTGAATTTCAGGACAGGAACTGTGGAAAGCAAGCTGGGCTCCTATTCAGGTTCAAAACACTCCCAGTCAAATTTAGAAGGGGCAGGGGACAGGCATCAGTGTAACTTTGTTGTTGGTACCTTTTGGGAATCTGGAGTTATCTCTGGTAAAAGAAAAGGTCGAAGGAGGTGATCCTGCCCCTTTGCTCTCGTGAGACCTCACTTGGAGTATTGTGTGCAGTTCTGGTGTCCTCAACATAAAAAGGACATGGATCTGTTGGAACAAGTCCAGAGTTGGGCCACGAGGATGATCAGGGGACTGGAGCACCTCCCGTATGAAGACAGGCTGAGAAAGTTGGGGCTGTTCAGCCTAGAGAAGGGAAGGCTGCGTGGAGACCTCATAGCAGCCTTCCAGTATCTGAAGGGGGCCTATAGGGATGCTGGGGATGGACTCTTCATTAGGGACTGTAGTGACAGGACAAGGGGTAATGGGTTAAAACTTAAACAGGGGAAGTTTAGATTGGATATAAGGAAGAAGTTCTTTGCTGTGAGGGTGGTGAGGCACTGGAACAGGTTGTCCAGGCAGGTTGTGAATGCTCCATCCCTGGCGGTGTCCAAGGCCAGGTTGAACAGACCCTGGGTGACATGGTTAGTGTGAGGTGTCCCTGCTCATGGCAGGGGGGTTGGAACTAGATTATCTTAAGGTCCTTTACAACCCTAACTATTCTATGATTCTATTCTATGATTCTAAAAGTTCTTGAGTCACACATCTGGAGCTGCCTGTGCTGATATGAGCACTGTCACCAGCCAGGTCTGACATCTGAATGTACCAAAGCCTCATCCAAAGTTACAACCTTCCCAGGGTGTAACTTAGGATGGGTTCCTTTGTGGTAGACATCTGTCCATTTAGGAATCCCCTGAGGGTGCACCTAATAATCCGTGACCAACAATTCTGTTCTCGACCCAGGAGCCTACAGTGGGTATTGGTGGGAGAAGCACAGCTGGGAACACCAAACAGACTATTTTACCAAAAGTCTTGACAGGCGCTTGAAATCAAACAAAAATTGGAACTGGATGTAGAGCATTCAGAACAGCGTTTCAGGTTTATATCTAAATGAAATGAGAAAAGATCTCATTTGAACCATAGGGTTGATATCTTTAAGGTTGCAGGTTGCTCAGAGAGTTAAGTTGAGGGAGATCTTGTCAGCTGCTGGGCTGAAATAAATAATTCAGCCACCAAGAAGTTTTGTGATTCTAACCTTATACGGCAGAAGACCCTGCAATAGAGGAGTCCGCTATAAGCATCAATGCCAAAGCTTATGCTAAGGGACACTCACAAGCAGATGTTTAAATGCTTTCTGAATCTTTGTCCTAGCAAAAAAATCCTTGGGATTTCATTTGTCAAGGGAAGTGTGAGGACTAACTGAGCTCATGAGTAAGTCCTGGGTAATAAGAACATGTGACAAAACCAGTTGTGGAAATGTGTAGCTCTCAGATTCACACAGCTCTAGAAATACAGCAGAGATGCAGTTTTAAAGATTGACGTAAGTAGGAACAGCTCCCAGAGAGGGGATGAGGCCATCCCCTTCAGAGGAATATCATCTCCAGAGGACAAGCATCAGTGCCGATCAGCACAACAGCCTCCAGAGCTGAGGAACCTCAGAGCTGATGAACCTCTTCAGGAAGGGCACAGCAGGGTGCTGAGAAAGGCTCATTGCACAAACTACAAGCAGGTAATGCGTGTTTTGTGGCACAAACAACTCACTTCCCATAAAGCAGGGACTAAAAACCCAAACCACACTCAGTGCTGTGCTGCAGACATGTCTGTGACCTACCGCAGTGAAAGAGTTGAAGAGATAGTAGAGAGCCCAGGCAATGATGACAATGTAGTAGATGTTCAGCCAGAAGGAGAGAACCATAGCTGCCAGTCCCACTCCTGCGAATGAAGGCAGAGAGCAGCATCATGCAAGATCTATGGTACCCATTTGAGCTCGTGGGCGTCATAGCTAATTTTGTGGCAATGCCAGAAAAAGCAAATCAGCTCATCAACACAGCATGTGTTAGGGTTGCACTGTGAGCTGGTCAGCAAGAGGGGCTCATTCTCTCAGTCTCTCATCCACCTGTATCCACTGGTTGTTATCTTACAGTATGCTGCAGGTACTCTGGGGACAGAGCTCCATGAAAACAGGATATGGACACTTCCCTGGCAGAAGTGATTTTTTTCCCACGTAAAAGGCATTTTCAAATCACCACTAGTTTCCAGAATGTAGTTACTCCATACATGGCAAGAGGTTCATGTTCCCTGTGTACAGCTTTCCCATGCAGTTAAAGTAAGCCTCCATAGGGAGTGTTGGGTCAGGTCTTCTGCAGCCAGAGCCCCAACATTGCAATCCTGCTGCTCATGAAATGCCTTCTTACCACACAAGATTGCTTGAACAGAACACAGTGATGTTAGCGATTACAGACATCCAGGTGAAGGATAGCTTAGTGAAGACAGAGGGAAAAACCTCCCCTCACCTGCACCCAATCCCAGTCCCCAGGGATTTGCTGATTTGCTTCACAAAAGAGTAGTTATGTGCCATCACCTTCCCCAACTGACAGTACAGTACCTTTAAACATGGGCGCTAACTTCCAGACTCCCAATCCACCGACAGAGGTATACTGGCCCAAAGCAGTTTCTAGCAGGAAGAGAGGAATCCCAGCAAACACCAAAGTCAGGAAATAGGGGATGAGGAAGGCCCCTGAAAGAAACAGCAACGTTACCAGGCGGCTACCCCTTTTGTCATGAAGCATATACCTCCAGCTGCAGTTTCTTGCTCTGCAGCACCCAGGTGATGAGGAGCAGACTTGCCTGGAGGTGACAGCTTACAACTGGAGTTGGCGTGTTCAGTGAGTCTCCCCATGAAATCACAGCTGTGTTTTCCTGATCTGTTCCTATCACTATGGATATATAAGTATCAATCATATATATGCATCAATCATATATATGCATATACTAGCATCACTAGCTTTGTGATGCCAGTCTCACTTTGTTGTTAGATACTTAGGCAATCCTAAACCCAATCTGACAACAAACCCAAACGCTTGGGCACTGACACTGATAACTTCTTGTTGGCATCTTCTGTCTTACCTGCAGCAGCTCCCAGTTCTTTAGCTTGTGTTAAAAGGGCACAGGAATATCTGGCAATGGCCACTACTTTCTTTGTTTACAGATGTTTTAGTCTCTTAAGGAAACTGTGGCTGTGACTGTATTTGCTCTGTACACCTCCCCAGCCTTGTTCTAGGTTTTACCCTTTAAGTTCCTGGCAAAAATACTGTTTTTCTCTATGGGCCCCATGGAAATCATCTCATCACTAAAAATCAGTTAATGCAGCCATTTACTAGAGGTATTACTTGCACTCCATTATTAGAAGAGCAAATAGAATATGAGAGCCTCGCCATGTGATCTGAAGGCTGTACATGTCCAGATCATCCCGACTTCTAGGGCTTGGGACAAAACTCATTTCCCAGCTTCCTCATGCATGTGCTGGAGCATGCCATCATTCCTGAGAAGGACAAACTCTTGGCTGCGGAGAGAGGAGATGCTGTGCAGAAGCAGCTGGCTGTGCTTGGGCCAGCACTGGTTTCTGCACTAGCCAGGGGGCTGAGCTGTCAGCCTGAGTTTTCTTCTCCAGATACTAGTGGTAAAGCAAGCACGGAGCCAGCAAGCACAGCCACTCCAGAGCACTGCAGCCCAACTTGCAGCTGGCAGAGCCAGGCTCCAGCAGCTGCTCTCCGTGGGCTGGGAAGCAGTGGGGCACAGCCAGGGATGCTGGCTCAGGGGACACCCAGCTGGGGACGCTTGCCTGCCAAGCAGGGAGCTGAGCCCAGCTGGGAGAGGCAGGTGCCAGCAGCCGGCGAGGGGATGCATGGGAGGCAGCATGCAAGAGGAGCTAGCTGGCAGCGGGTGGCGGGGAGAAAACATGCTGTGGGCCAGCAGCTCGATGACCATGAGCCCAGATCACAAGCTGGCATGGAAACGCAGGCTGTCGGCTTCACCAGCAGCCTGGCGTGGAGGAGCGAACAGCTTTGGGCATCACTGCCTGCTCAGCATCCTCCCCTTGCTAGCTGCCACAGCCTGAAAGGTCCAGCCTCCTAGGAGCCCTGCAGGTCTGCTCCGAGGACACAGATGCTGCCTCACTACTGCTGTACCTCATTGTAGAGTTTGGAGATAAGGATTATCAGCAGTCACAGTGCTTGCTCACTTCTGGGCAAGCAGCTAATGAAAACTGGCCACAGACCTGATGATCCTGTATTTCTCATCTACAGCAAGCCAGGAAGGTTCGTAGGTGGGAGATTCTATTAGACTGTTGAGAAAAGGAAAAAACAAACTTTTGGACCCAGGTCATTTATCCTGGCTTGACAAAAATCCTCTGGAATAAGGGAAAATCTAAAACCAGCCTTGAACTGAAGGGAATGACACTGCCACTCTGGAGGGTCAGGTCCCTGAGGAGGCACGGATAGCATCCCTGGGTGCCATAAAGCCAAAGGGGAAATCAGTTTTGAAATGTATACCTAAAGGTTGCATGCCTATGCCTAAATCCTTGGCACAGAGAGAAAGGGATGGTCTTTAACCTCCAGCCCTGGATGGGCTGCGGAAAGGTCTGGTTCAGTTCCTGGGCCTGCTACAAGTGACTGTGTGACCTTGGGAGAGTTCAAACTTGTCTCCAGAGCGATGGTGCTGGTCCTGCCTGCCCGGGACACCAGCTCTTGGAAGCAGGGGAAAGATCGCACAGCACCTGGCCCTGACTGTGCAGCCCCAAATCCGCCTGCAGTCTCCAGCTCCTGATGCACAGCAGTGCAAAGAATAACAATTAATCGCCAAAACTGCAAACGCTGCCCACAGATCAAAAGTTGAGCATTACAAGCTGTTACATGCCATTGCTTGGAGTCTCGTTGTGTAAATGAGAAATGCATGATGTTTATTAAAAGAAACATCCTTTTCTCAAGTTATTCAAGCTCAGGATCACACAGACAATTTTTAGTACCTTCTGAGATGCATTTAGAGTCAATTTAGACGGGTAGAATCCTGTTGACATCAGAAGGACTGCGTGAAATTAACAATCGGTGTAGAGCTGGAGTATTAGTCATAGCTAGGCACATTGAGCAGTGTGCAGGGCCAGAAGGGAGCCCAGGCATCACTTTGGGTAAAGCCTGCTCCCACAGCAGATGGGCCTCACGCCGCTGGGCTGCCGTATACACCCTGGCTGAATATCCCCTAATTACGTGCCCGATCACAATGCTGAGCAAATCACCCGTGAGCCGATACAATGTGACAGTGGTAAGCGAGACGGCAATATTTCCATTCAGTTCAATTTGCCTGTGCGTAATGGAAGCAGCCCACACGACCGCGCTCTGAGCAGCGCACATGCAGCACGCTAAAATTAGGCTCCCACCCACAGTCTGCTCTGCTCCGCTCCGGAGGCAGAGCCAAGACGGTGCCCACCCGATCGCGAATCAGATGCCGTGCGACCCTTCCTCGCTGCGCCGCATCGGCTCCCGGTGACGCGTTCATGCGTCAGCTCTCCCGCCTGTCTCCGGCATCAGCAGCCTCCACTCGCTGCTCATTATTGCCGGCTATGGGAACAGTCATGCCTGCGAACAGCCAGACCGGATAGGGGTGAATGGAACGAGCTGTACAGGCTGACACGAATGGCACGAACCAGCAGACAAGGAAGGGGTTTTGAGAGGACACAGACACCAATTGCCACGTTTCTTCTGCCCTGTGTTTTTGCTTGGAGCTGGCTGATCCCTCTGTATGCCCGCAGCTCACCCTGTGTGCCACTGCTAATGCTAATAATAGTGCTCCACACCTCCACAGCACCCTCTGTCCTAGGATCTCAGCTGACTTTATATGTAGGACTGGTTTTAGCTTCAAAACACCCCTCATCTTATTGCAGATCTTGTCACCACCACCTCTGTGTGTGAGGAGACAGAGCCACAGGCAGCACAGATTGGGTGCATTTGAGATGGCACAGCAATCACAGGGCAGAGGCTGAGCTAAAAAACAGTGCTTGGCTTAGCTGTGGGGCTAATGTTGTATGAGGAAGGCTATTGCAGTCAGGTGCCAGAGTGTGCCTAGATAAAAATGGCAGAACTGCACCATAGCTCTGGCAAGGGTGGCACAGGCTCCCCTAGGTAGGCCTGGCTAATTCCCATAAACCTCACCCTGCTCGGCTGCACACTCGTGCCTCTGCATGAAACGATACTGAATTAATCAAAATGGATAAGTCTGTCCAGTCTCCTGCTGGGACTCACTCCACGTGCTTCAAAGAAAGGGTCAAGATCCCCCTAAATGCCATGGAGCTGCATGGACAGAACACTGCAGGGAGCTAGACCACGCTCCTCTTTCCCAGCATGGGAAGAGAAGGGCATCCTGTACCACCTACAGCAGAGATGGGCTGGCGATATGAGGAGAAGTCATGAGAGCAAAGACAAAGTGGGTTTTGAAAAGGGAATTCAAGGCAAAAGGAGAAGAAAAATGACATGGAGAAGCAGTGTGAGAAGAGACTCTCAAAGGGGAGCTGAGGCACAAGAATGTGTCTTCAGACTCCATCCAAGACAAGCAGAAAGCCTGTAGCTGGGGAGGGAGTTGATCTCTCAGGTCTCTTGACTTCTAGCTCAGCACCGTTTCCCCATCTGCCTGCCTTTCTCTAGCCTTGCAATGGCTTGGCAAAGTCCCAGCTGGGAGCTGATAAGGGAAGGATGAAGTGGCACAATAATAAAAAGAATGGAAAAGCTGGTGTTAGCTGTCCACAGAGGAAGGCACTGCTACCAGCTGCATCACAGCTACTGCAAGTCCTTTGCCAGTTGCTGCCTTCTCTTGTGGCTTCTGTTTTCCAAACATTAGGATTAAGATGGAGACAATAATTGTGACCCTTCTCACAGCGCTAGTAGTAAGTCAAAGCTTATTTCCTTCCACAGATGATGACACTCATGTTCTGCGTACGTGTACATATGTATGCATGCGTGTGTATACATCTATACTGCCCTGCTATGGTCCATGTAAAGCTTCTAATCAAAACTCCTCAGAGATGTGACCCAAACTCAGACACAAAACGGTTACCCCTTAAGAATACTCTAGATGGAGGAGAAGCCCACTATGAACAGATATAACTTGATTTCCCTGGGAATGCCCCAGCATCCAGCTGGGTGCCTGTGTGAATTTATGTTTATCTTTGTAAATAAATGAGGTCCCAGACACTTGCTACTGTAGCCCTGCAAACTCGGACTGCAAAAGATTCACAAAACTCTAACTTCTTGTTCCTTTGGGCTGCTTCTTCCCAACCTGCACTTGCTAGTAATCTCACCGACTATGGGAACTGCTCTGCTGACAGCTTAATAACTCACATCATGAGGGAGAGCTCTCATCCAGGTGACCAGCCCCTTGCCCAGACCTACACCAAACAGAAGCCTGTTCAGAGGACAAGACTGCTCAGGGATGAGCACAATGCTGTGCGTTACTCTCACCTCCTCCGTTCTTGCCGCAGAGATAGGGGAAGCGCCAGACGTTGCCCAGCCCAATAGCATAACCCACGCAGGACAGCAAGAAATCAAATCTTCCCTTCCAGGAACCTCTGTCTGGGATTTCCTTCTTCTTCTTGGTGCTCACAGCGTCAGGGGTGATGGGCTCTGACTCCTCCAGGGCCGCCTGCTTCACCTCGGAGGGAGAGCTGAGCTCCACGGAGGTGTTGTCCATCTTGCCCATCGTGACTCAGATGTATGGGCACTCTTGTTCTGGGGATGGATGAGCAGGAAGGGCAGCCTCCACCCTGGGCAAGCACAAATGGAATGGGAAGTGCTGGGCAAAGCTCCTGATGAAAAAGATGAAAAAAGAAGATATCCTGTGTTAGTGTAGTTGGCTTAAGGGAAGACCTTGCTGGAGCTGAGGTGGACTCACTGGATAGACGGGTGCACATCAATGCAGCCTATCCATGCTGGTCTGTTTTCAACAGAGAGAAGGAGAAGGATAATTTTGCCTTTCTCCACAGTTGCCCTTCCAAAGAGCCCTGGTCATATAGGCTGCTAACAACAGGCTTAGACCAGGTCGTTACCCGCACATAGCAAACCCCTCAACTCTCATCTTACCTCCTCTTCATCCCAACACTGCTCTGCAAGAAAAGCTCCAGGACCCATATGAATGCAGGGAAGTCATAGTCTGTGGGTGACCCACCATAGAGCAGTCCAAGCAGAGAAATACAGCTAGCATGTCTGAGAGACAGTGGAGAAGGGCATCCCCCAGGTCTGGGGCCCAAATCTGAGTGCACCAGATTTGGTGCATGGATGCCATGTGAGATTGTGTATGGCTGTGATAGGATAGTTTGCAACAGCAGCCCCACTACGGACATGCCTCACATTGCAACCCTGTGCCCTAATCTCCTGTCATGGCAGTGGCAAGGCTGTGATCACAGCTGTGCACCTGCAATGCCTGGCAAGGAAATCACTGATCTACTCAGCACCTCCTTGTACACCATGTTGCATGTGATTGATACTCCAAATGCCAGCTGTATTCAGATGATGCTTGATAGTGACTACAGGCAGTTTGTGAACCATTGGAATCCCACTAATTCAGGGCTCCAAAGTCCTGAGAATTAATTATATGAGTCTGACTAAACATTTAAGTAGTATTTCCATTCCTTTTAGGCTGTAAGAAGTATCTACCAGCACACCAAAACTGTTCAGGAAGAACAGGCTACATTATTACACCAGTGTCTGAAACAGTATTGTACTCATGTCTTGAAAACTAAATGCAGTTCTAGCTTTCCTGTAAAGTCAGAAAAAGGCATGGAGGAGAGCCAAAAGGATGCTTAAAAGAGTGGAACATCTTCCATGTGAGGAAAGGCTAAATGAACTGGAATCCATTGGCCTGTGGAAGAGGTGACTGAGAGGGGCCTATAAATGTACCAGTGTTTTAGAATATGAGTGTTCACCATTTCTGACAGAAGAACTACAGGGGATTAGACCAGGAGAGCAGGTGGTAGGTTCAAAAAGAACAAAAGGTGGTAGTCCACAAAACACACAGCTATGGAGCGAGACTCCCCACTCCAGGATGTGCTGGATGCTGAGAGTTTACATGACTTCAAAGAGGAAATTAAGAGGAAAACTAATGGAAGGAAAATCCACCAGGTGCTACCACTGCAGTTCAGGAAATCCCTGAGCTATAAGTTGCTGGAGGTCGACGGACTCTTCCAAGGAATTATCACTCGCTATTTTTCTTGGTTTTACACTCAGCATCTGCCCTCAGCCAGTGCAGAAGACATTCTCAGTCCATTTTACACAGAGCTCAGTTTAAGTGGTGGACTTGGCAGTGATGGGATACAAGTTGGACTTGTTGATATTAAAGGTCTTTTCCAACCTAGTTGATTCTATGATTCCAGGAGGTGGCATGCTCTAGCAGTTAAAGCTGGCCTTGCCTGAGTTGATTATTCTTGTCAGTCTTTTAAGCAAACAGTACCCATTTGCATCATGAGGTGCTTGGGGAACCCATTAACTCACGTTTCTGAAGTGTCCTCAACCCAGATGGTCTCCCAAGCCCAGGCTCAACAGCAGTATTAGCTCCTGCTTACTGTAATGGACACCCCATGATTACAGCAGATGGATTTCCTTCTCTCACCGAATTTGTTGCTGAGGCTAGAAAAACTGTGTCAACTATGAAGGGAATGGATGAAGTAGAAAATAACTGTGATTCATTCTGGTACATCGTTGGAGAAGCCAGAAAACTTGCTGTGGGATGAAGGGTGTAACCAAACCCCTCTGAGCTATGGAAGCAGCCCTGAGCTTCACAACTCCTCTAGCCCAAGGATAGCTGCAGGTAAGCCTGGAAGTAAGTGACAGCACAAAAAAGCCTTCTGAGGAGAAGAGACTGTTTCACATAGCCCATGAAGCAGATGCCAGAAGAAAACATTGCTGGACAGACAAAGAAAAGCTTTGGTTAACGGATCCCCTTTCTGTCCTACATCTTGTGTATAGCAAGCACCAGCTCCCATCTCCTCAGTAAGGCAGGGAGAAAAAAGATTATACAGAACATGCAGGAGGAAAGTAAAATAAAGACAATTTATAAATCAAAACAGCAGAAATAGCACCAACCCCCCTGGGAGGAATTCAGAGCCGGGCTAAGTCAGGATGTTTAGCTATGCCTGGAGACATTACAAATTAGGCTCGGCAGAAGCCATTTTGATTCACTTCTCTTTTTCTGGGACAAAAAACAGTAGGTAAGATGCTACCCTTAAAAGTAGGCATACATCCTGCTCTCCCTTTGCTCTTTTCTCTGTTCTTGCTGCCACAGTTCTGGACCAATATGACATTGAGGTGGTCACATCTTGTATTTCGTATACTTGGGGGGAAGATTGTAGAGGAACAGCAGAGCATACCGGCAGCTACTTTTTACCTGAGAAATGAGATCCTTCATCTCCAACTCAGATAAAAGAAACTAGATTTATAGTGGTTTCTCCACAGTGAAGAGATAGAGAAGCAGTCAACAGCACCCACTGGGGTTCATTCCACTTACTGTCCTGTCTCCTACTGTGATGGATGACTAGGGCAGAAGGGCTCACTCATGTCCCACACCCCAGCTGTGCCATGTCCTTCCTTGGACATGCAATTCTGACCAGGAAAAATACAATCATTGGTTGCTCCAGGCTGAGTGTTTGACTCCTATGATTAGATATCAGCTCACATGCTGGACAAGTGGTCTACTGGGACAAAATGCATCAACCCCTCTGCTTATCCACATGCATCTCCTCCAGCATAAGCACAGGGCTCTGCCCTGTGCTGACAGCCTAGAGAGAGCAGAGTCGGTTCGAGTAGCTCTCTGTCATGTCACATTATTCATTCCCAAAAGCACACGGCGCTTTGGGCACAGCAAAACGCCTGAAGGACTTGAAATGATAATCAATAAGAGCAGAACTACAAACTGGAGGTGGGCTCCGCTTCGCAAGGCCTTGAAAACAAGGTCAAAGAGTTTAAACATGACACTATAGCAGACTTCTCATTCGACTTCTCCTAAAGACTTCATATTCTGAAGTCGAGACTTTCAAAGCGATCAGGAAAAGCGAGGGTCATAAATCCCTGGCAGTAAAGTAGTGACCTGAGTTCCACTGAGTCGTGCAGAAGGCCTGGTCTTTTGCTGTTCGAGTCAATAAAAACAACTGTGTGGTCCCCAGCGGGTGCAGAGCCAGGCTGAAACATTCTGGAAAACAGCCCTTCCCCTCCCTTTTGTGAGGAATTTCACCTCAAATAAGAAAACAGCCCTGAAAAAGTATTGCCTGTACTTGGAATGCTACTGCCTGAAACTGCTAACAACAGTGACCTTTTGCTTTCCCCTGCTTCAGTGCGAAATATTAACAGTCTCCTCGAATCCAACATAAACCAAAAATTTCAAAGGCATAAAATTGCCCGAAATGAAACAGCAAAATTAGCTGTGGAAAAGCATGTAAGAAATACCTTCACACCTCTCCACCTTTTATTTTTTCAGTGCTGTAACAGCCACACAAATCACTTCTAACCCATGCAGGTAGAGCCACAATTAGTTTAATTACACAGTGCGGGCTGTTGTTCAGTCAATTAGACTTTTCCTTTCATCCACACCATTTTAATGACAGCCAAGTAGCCCCAAGGCTCCTGCGTCTTGTTAGGAGCCATGACCGGCTGATCAGGGCACAGCAGATGCTCAGCTGATTTTCTGCTTGCTGCAGCAGCAGCATATGCTTGAGCTTCCTGCATCCATGAAAACCAGAGGGTCTGGAAAAGAGCCCCCCCAGGAGCCTGAGGGTACTGGCCCCACGTGGAGCTTGCTCAGAGCTGGAGCATCACTGTCCTGCCCAGCATGGTCAGGCAGACAGGGCTTGTGTTTCACAGTCCTTTCCACGTGCTGCCCAAGAGGCAGCCACTGCAGTCACACAACCTTTCATCTCCCTTCCCCTGAAGAGAGGCGATTGCTTGGTTACAGGAGAAATCAGCGCTCACAGAGGATGTGAGAAGAAAATAAATCAGCTCTCCTGGGTGATGCAGCTGCCAGGTGGCATGCTTTTTCCACTCTCCTGCATGAGATTTGAGCTGCTGGTGTCCAGGTCTGATCTGCAGCTATTGCCCAACCTCCCTTCTCCACCAACATGCCCGGGTGATCCATGGTGCTCCTGATAATGTGGCAGGTGAGGTTGGTAGCACACCACAACCCTATCCAGATGAAGAGAAGGGGCACACATGAGTAGTGTTTTGTAAACCGTTAAACAAACAGGATATCCACATGAAGCCAGAATATGTCTTTGAAGCCCTGAAAAAAATAGTTGAAGAGCTGCTGAGCTGTAGCCTACCATGTGGTTGGTTTGCCAAGCAGCACCTTGATCTTTGTGTTACACACGCAGGTGGAATCGGGACAGCTACTGTGATGCCCTCCCTGGTTCCAGATGGATGCCCACTTGGCTCCTTATCCCTCAGGGGAAGCAGGGTCAGATCCTGCTCACAGCCACAGGCTGTGCTTCACCCACCACTGCTGCTCTCACCTCGGTGACTGGAGCTGTCTCACTCTGCCTGCAAGGAGAGAGGCAAATGAGGCAGCCTCTGGCCCGTTTTAGAGCTCCCATGTAAAGCTCATCTTGAGAAGCTTCCCCAGGGAGCAGAGAGCTGGCAGCGCTCTTCCTCAGCTCCCATAGACTATCTAGACCCAGCCTGAGCAACTGCAGTGTGAGGATGAGGCTGGACCACGTCCCAATCCCCTCCTCTCAGCCTCCAAGCAGACTGCAGGCAGCTCCCTAAGCCCCCAGTGGCTTTGAGATGGCAAAAGACTAGTGCCTTAAAGGCATCTTTGTCTC